TTTATCGCTTCGAAGCCGGTGAGTTTCTATCGTCAAGGAATTCGCAAGCTACCCGAAATATGGCAAAAGGTCGTTGATGCAAACGGAGAATATTTCGCTGATTAATATTTTTTTCGTTTATTTTTGAATAAAGATTGAATTTTACAAAAAAAGCTCAGAACTTTAATTGTTACAAAAATAAATTTAATATTGCAAGTCAAACTAAAATTATTAAATTCATGCCGAAATACAGTATATCTTCATGAAATGTGCAGTAGGCAATAACACGCAAATAAATTAATTACATATACCTTCAATTTATACTTTTAGTACAAATTTAAATGCAATAGATACCCCAAACTATTGAACTATAATATATTGTTTTCAGATTTTATGCCATTGATTAGTAATATTATTATATTTTATATAAAGATACATTTATAGAGTATCACAAAAAAAAAACAATTCTAAATAACAATGCGCTAATCTGAATGTTAAAAGTTATATAAAGATTCCTTAAGACTTTTATACAGTATATAAAATACAATAGCAAGGCACAAATAGTTGAAAGACTCACTTCCCTAGTCACATTCTCCAATCAAATATATAATATTTTACAAATGTATATTTAACAATTCATTTACTATTTTCTGATAGCACTCGTGATTACTTTTATTGCGGCCAGTGCTTCCTTGGCAGTTGGGATGATGTACTGAGGTGGAAGGAGGAAGCCATATTTGCCAGTGTCTCGCAGTTCGATCGTATATGCATACTTGATCTTGAGCAGAGCTTTAGCCCAGTCGTCAGAACCGCCAGCAGCGGGATACAACGTTATCGCACTATTTCCGACGATGTATTTTGTATTATCGCCTCCTTCGTACTTCATATATTCAGCTGCTTCAAGCCCTACCGCATCAAGATCTCGGTAATCAGGCGGCAAACGCTGATCATATCCCCATGGATACAAGATGTATTGACCGTATGAGTGAAACGATATATATGCCTGCAAGAAAAACATAATCGAGTGCTACAATGGCATGGAAGGAATATTTCAAAATTTATAAAGTTAATTTCTAAGATTGAATTATCCGTGGATTGATTGTTATAAAATGTTATTATAGACATCTCATAAAAATATATATACATATATATGTATATATATTTTTTGTGAGATATTTTGAATTGAAGAAAATCCGTATAATCCAAATATTATTATGTTTGCGATATTAAGTTAAGAATAGTTGTTGATAGCATTGTTGTAATTGATGTATTTAAAAGAATAAAATAATTAATGCAAAATAAATACAAACTCGCGGATTTTATGCAAAATATTTTAACTGACCTTGTAATTTGCTAAACTGTTCTCGAAGAAATTTCGAATAGCATTAGTTTCTGGCTCGGAGAATGCTTTAGAACCTCGGTAGGTCTCATAACACATATTACTGCTAGTTCCCTGGCCACCCCAGCGATAACCAAAGTTTCGGTTTAAATCCACGCCCGAGCAAAGAGTACCTTTCCTTCTATTTTTTCTCCACAAACGATCGTATTTGAAGGTATATCTGTAGCCATCCGGATTGGCAACTGGCAGAATGTAATAATCTGTTTGTAAAACATCGCTATTTTCAACCAGGTAATCAATAATATAAGTCACAGCTGCCGGTGAGATCCATTCCCTGGCATGTATGCCACCATCAATCCATATCGCTGGTGCATTCGTCCTACCATTACTAATCCTTAGAACCTTTTAACATTTATAAAAATATTAAGCATTAATTGTCAATACGTGGTCAAATTTTAAAAACAATTAAATTAATTTATCACAATTAATTTATCACGAGCGCTCGATGTCTAATAGCGATTTAAATCTTCTTCCGAAGTCAAAACTTAAAAATACATTCAATTCTAATTTCTAGACGTTTCGACCTCATATCGGGCCATCATCAGTATATAAAAATATTAAGATCTTAAACATCAAATTGTTTTCCAGTATCGAAATAGATTAGATGTGGATACCTTGAGGGGCTGTCCTTCAATGGAATTTCCGATGGATTGGACGGAGCAAACATCGGGATAAGTGTTCGCGAGATAATCCAAATAGCCATAAATGTCATTTAATTCATGGTAGCTGGTCCATTCCATACGATGACCTGATGGATATACCTTCAAGATTATTCGGAGATTGCACGTTCCGTGCCTTCGTGAGCTTGTATATCAACCGCTTCGTAGATTCAGCTCGACACAAAGGAAGTATTTGTTCCTTTCAATTATCATCTTACAAAATATTTTTTTTGGTACTCCTTACATTATATATATCTGATATATCATTCTGAATCGACGAAACGGATTATGCGCGTCTGAGAAAGCTCACCCCTAAAATGCCACGGAGCACCCCCACCATACACACTAGCAGAATAACGAAGAGGACGAGGACGTGGAAATATACGTCTGACTCCCTGCCACCAAGCGTAACGAGCTAAAAAATTACTGAATGATGAAAAATTACTGAATACTCAGTGATGGAAGCGATGCACTTATTAAAATTCCCAAATGCTCATATTTATTCCCATAACTTAATTCGCGTTTCAGAGACTTTTTGACTTTTCCAATATTGTTTGCAAATGTAATAATTTTTTGCACGAAAACCGAACCTTGCCGAGTCCGTCTTGGATAACGGCATCGAGATCAGATCGACCGACTATGCAAACGACCACGGAAAACGACAAAACGCTGCTGAACGCCCGTACGTGCGAAGACTACGCGTTTTACACACGCCTTACAAGTAAAGTATAACTGTTAATGTTAATCAGCATTGAAGCGAAACCGGGTTACTAAGTGGAATTCACACAAGATCAATAACCTTGATTCATTTTAAACTGTTTTTCTTTGAAAATGTATAAGAATTTCAAATAATTAATTAATGTATTAACTTTCCTTTACGCATTACATCAAATGGCACAATTTTTCGATAACGACATATAAATAATAAAAAAATATATTAATAATCTCTTTACAATGAATATTAGATTAATCGAATTATGTTAAAATCATATAATAGGAAAAAATTTAATCAAGTATGTCTACATCAACATTAGAATAGTTTTCATGTACATATACAATGTTTGACTTATGGTGTTTACTGTTACTATTTTCTATATAGTGTCCTAATTATTACAAATACTATAATAATTTAGTCCAATTATGAGGTCAGATTACAATTGAAGATATAGATATATTTTTTTAATTAGATTAGAACAATGGAATGTTAAATTTATTTAATTATTTAGTTTCCAATTTTAAATAAATAATTAAGTAAATGGAGATCATTCAAATTAATTAATCCGATCCAAAATTATCAACAAGCTATCATTTACAACAACTCACTTTTGAATGTATTTCTGAATAAGAATTATTAATTTATTTTAATTATAGTTTCCTTTGCTACATGACTGATCAAACAATAACATCCTTCATTTACGTAAACAAGTGAAAAACAAGTTATAAAGATTGATTATTGCTTCTTTTCTATTATTAATTATCAAAAAATGACGAAAAATGATAAGTTAAGAGTGATAACTAATTGCGAAACATAAACGATAAATGACAATGACTTGATACGAAGTATAAGCTCTTAATAATAATTATCAACCAAACAATAACTTTTTCCGTAACTTTTATGAATATCGATGAAACGAGGTAACTATAAATAAAGATTGCTTTTTTTTATTATTAATGAGATTGTCAGTGAAAAAAAGTGAAGAAAAATGATAAAGAGCCAAACTAATTGTAAAGCATATACTATAAGCTGCGATAACTTGATGCGAAGCACTTAATAATAATTATTAAAAGCATTTAACGATGCGTGAATATATCAATAAATATTAATAGTATTGTTATTATTATTTATCTTTGAAGAAATTTTTATCTTCCCTGCGATTACATTGCTGAATGATTTCATGATATAGCAATTAAAAAATAAAGTTTAATTAATGCGATTGTAATAAAAGCCCAAACCTTTGCGTCCTTCAAGTTCTGCTTCCATTGCGGTTGTAAGTCGAACATTCCCATCATCGATCGCTTTTTGCACATCTTTGATCAGAACTTCATATTTTATTCTGCAATTGTTTAATAGCAAATCGACGTTATAAAGCATCCGACTTCGAACGAAAATATCGACGGTCAATGGATGGTTTGACCATATTTGATATGCTACATTAAAAAAAAGATTTTGTTATAGACTCTGTTTTTAGTTGTTATCCTTCTAAAACTCTTAGTAATACATATCATTTTAAAATACAGTAAAATATTTATATTTTAATATAAATTTTATTTATTATGTACAACCGTTTTGATCGTGTTGCTCCACCAAATCATTTACTGAATCATTATGCTTGTAGATTCTCCACACTTGATCACCGACGTAATAAACTCTTTTACTAAAATCCTCTCTGAAATTTTCTTTAGCCGTTCTTTCATGAGCCACAGATTCGCCTCTTTTAAGATTCACGGTCGCATCAACGACGAAGACAACGATTGCTATCGTTGTCAACGCCACCAATTTTGTGTGATTTTTTCCACCGTTCCTCATTTTAGCAGAAACTGTTCTTAAGAGCAGAATATACCCAGCTTTTATAATACGCGACACGATCACTGATCGGGAGTATAACGGAATTACTCGATCGAAGATGCGGAGTTTGCCGAATCCAACCGTAACAAATTCATATCGAAATAAATATATACTGTTAATAAACATGTCTTCTGTTTGTAGAAAGACAATAAAACTAAACAGACTTCTTTTTATTTAATGTATCTCATATGGTCGGACCACGCGTCTGCTGCTGACATTTTTATTTACAACTTTTATATGTATATATAAAGCTGTATGTTTAATAATATCAAATCGACATTCAAAAATTGCAGAGTGAAATATCATGTTCTGGACACGTATTATGGAATTATTCAGAAAAAATTTCAATCGGAATCACTGTTTTCCTTAAAAAAAAAAAGTTGAAATTTAGGGAATAATTTAACAATTCTGATCGAAATCTATTCCGCATAATTTCATAATATACGTGAAATTTTTTAAGACTCAAGAATATTTTTAGAATAGAAATGGGATGAAACAGAAAATCATTTCATAAGACAAGGAACGAAAAATATTCTTTTCGGATTCTCTGTGCTATCTGGATATGCAACACAAAATTTATCTTTATTATCGCGTTATTATAGCTTATATAATTTATATACAGAATATGAAAAGAAAACTACACAAAATAATTATACAAATAAATAATTGCCAGTTTTTATTTTTTTAATTTATATTTATAATAATATTACTTATTGTTAAATAATACAAGTATCTGTAGACTTTAAATACTATTGTTTGTTGCAAGACTTCTTTATTGCAATAGGCCCATTGATGCACGGCTACTTTATTTAATTTAGCGCGCCGACGCATCTCTCGATGACGACGGCACAAATCGCGGGCAGACACGCGGCTTCTGCACATACTTCTTGCATCGTTCTTGCACCGCTACATCGTAATCGTGATTGCAGTTTAATAAAAAAAGCAGTACTGCAACATCTGTATCACCTCCGGATATCATTTGGGACAAAATCGTAAAAGTATGAAGTGCCTATTGACGATCATCATTCTCGTGGCTATTACCTCGACCATTAAGGTACCGTTTACTGTCCGTATTTAAGACGATTTTATTATATCTTTCCTAACCGTAACTGCATTTTTGGATACCGTTAATACATAATTCAACGTTTGGTATAGAAATTAATTGTTTATTACATTAAAGGAACGCCTCTTTCTTCTTTTATTTGTATATTTTGTATCAATTTGAGACTAAATATTTCTAAGACATTTCAATATTAATCCTTCTTAGTATATAATGAATTCTTATAAAAAAAAGAAATTTAATTTGTCGTAAAATATTATGATGTTCCGCGACAAATTTTTATTATGGATATTTTTTCGTGAATTTTAATCGAAGAAGCATAATTTTATAAATCCTACAATGAAAATTTTATATCTGTCGTATTAACATATATTAACATAATAAAACTTGTTATTTTACGATAAATTATTTAACTTAGAGTTTGAGATTATCCTTTTATATACAGTAGAAATAAAAATAGATAAAATAGAAGAGAGAGAGAGAGAGTAATAGGTCAGATAAACGTGCGTATGTGTGTGTTACCTTTATATGTCATAAGGTTTCTTTAGTCTCTTCAATAGATGCATATGTGCCTATATAAATACATGCATCTATCGTAAGCTCTACACACGAATCATTCTTCTGTAAATATGTATGTTACTTTAAATGTAACCCACTACATAGATGCTCTTGAGAATACGCGTTAAATTAATGGAAGAGGAAAAGTTCTATTCTATATTACTTCTGTTAGCTTCAAGCACTTACAATATTCAAAGCACATTTCAAATGATATTGATAGGATTTGCAACATAGGCTACGTTTACACCGCGACCTATACGATAGGTGTCTTTGTTTAACCTACAGGATAAACAAGGACATCTATTGCATAGGCCGCGGCCTAAATGCACGGTGTAAACGTAGCTAATCACATTTGAAATTTTTATAAGTACTTGGAAACATAACAACATCTAAATGTAATCGCAACATGCAATGTAATGCTTCTTGTATTGCAATTAAATTTAATTTATATATAAAACAAAATATATTACTGAAAAAGTAAAAGTTAATATCTTCCGTATTAAATAATATTAAATAAAGAGTCTCGGTAGTCTAAAGGCTTAGGACACTCGCACGGAATGCAAGAGATCCGGGTTCGACTCCCGGCCGAGGCATTATTTTTCGCAATAAGTTTTATTACAGTTTTTAAGTTGGGGAATTTGGGGGGATTATTAATATTTTCAGATTTGATTGCGTTGAAAGTCCGACAACCGAAGTCCGAAAATATCGGCACGCAATTATCATTTCTGAAATTAATTCATTTAAATGAATTTACAATAGTTCAACATCTTAACGTTCTGACCGTTATGGCGCTTCTTAATTTAAAATTATTATGTTTAACATTAGTCTTTCAATCTTATTATTGATTAAATAAAGAGTTTTAAAACAGTAATAAAAAACCGTCAAGTAAATTTTAAATATATTATAATATAAATCCGAAAATGCAATGTATATTAAAATGTTAGAAAAAAATATTAAGCATGTAAAAGCAATAGCGGATTTGCTATTAATATATTACAATGTATAAGAAATAAACACGGCGACAACATATAACTCGATTGCCTACATGCACTATTACGCATAAATATAAAATTAAGAGAAAAATGTGTATGTTTGCACACACGACATTATTATGTACATGCTGCATTGCATACATACCTAATGTTATTGTTTACAAGTATTTTTGTGAATAAACATATAATTAAGACACGAAGATACGTTTGCACATATGTATTATTGCCCAATCTCTGCTTCAAAACAAATACTGTTTTAAAACACAAATTCTCTGCTTTAAAAACATAAATTATTTTCTTATATAATTTGATATTAATTTTATATTTGTGCGCAGAAGTGCTTGTAAACAATCGATCTGTAAACAACAATACTTGTAGACAAATATATACGTGTAGACTTCGTTTTTGAAATTTTTATTTCTGCTCACTTGTAGGCAATCGATCTGTAGACAATAATATTATGTGTGCAATGCAGTTTGTGCGCAATAGTGTCGTGTGTACACATTCTTTTTCTTAATTTTATATTTGTGCGCAATAGTGCATGCAGGCAATAATTTTTGTGTGCAAACGAACTGTCGGCAAATATGTAGGCAAACAGTACTGTAAGCAATCAATTTGTAGGCAAACGAAGCCTTTTCTGTCAATGATGCTAGAGGAAACACTTATAAACACTTGGATAAACCATTTACATATTTTACAAACGGTTAAGTGTATACACTGAAAAAATAATATTGTTTTAATAGCATAATTTTAATAGAAAATAATCTTGTTGATTTAACAACAATATTAACGAAACAAATAAAATTTGATTAAAACAAGAGCATAAGTATTTGTTTTATTAACGGTGTTATTGAATTAACAAAATTATTTTCAATTAAGTTAATACTGTTAATACATCATTTTTTTTAGTGTAAATATCCATTTAAAGTGTAAAATGAAAATGATTTTCCAAAAATTTAAAATGAAACTATTTCAAATATTAAACCTTAACGAACCTAAGCGAACAAAAATTACGAATTGAACGAAGTAACGCTCATACAAAGAAATATTTTCAATTTTTACATAAACTAATTTAGATAGACAAAAATGAATATGCTTTGCAATAATAAGTTTTGCATCATAATGATATCAACTTTCCAATATGAATTTCAATGTGCGGGCGAGAATATGATGGTATATTGCTTTTATCAACGTTTTTTTAGCAGCGTTACTAAATAATCAACTGTACACTTGTTTTATAACTGTTTAAATAATGCTTTCTTATATTTTATCGCTATGTATTCTAATACATGTAATTCCAATTAAATGTAACATAATAGTACGTTTTTGAATCTAATTGTAAGTTCACCTTCTTTTTATTTTTAAAATATAGAGGAAAGTCGTCGATACCGACATGTCACTTTGTTTTTAGACAATATTTCTTAAACAAAAGATAAAAATAAAACTTTAAAAACGTAAATACAAACTGAAAAGTGTCTTCTATCAGATAGTATAAACAGTTTTTATAATAACAGTTTAATTTAAACTGTTTGCAATTTTGCAATAATTAATTTTTTCGTAAGGTAAGCAAAAATGAGTGTCTAACAAAATGGGCTCCAAAACTGACACAGTAGGCAGTAATGCTACGTATTCATATTCTTTTTATTTTACAAGCATTATCTGTATAAAGTACCTACAAGTGAATGTATATAAGATTTTCCAGAATCTTTTCACTTCGTTATAAAACATTTTTATCGAATTATATGCATATTTATTTTATGCAGCTGTTCTGCAAGATACAAATATGTAATGCGATAGTTTTTCAAAAGTTTTCCCATATATGCACGATTGCCTTCAGCTCCAATAGACTTATTTGACACTATAAAGCAATGTTATAAAGATTAAGTTCATGGTCTGTTTTACAGACAGGTGTTACGGTTTACGCTGCACCCTAATTTTAAATTTAAAATCGTATTATAAAAAGACTAAGAGAAAAAATAATATAAATAAAATTGATTTAAAACACTACAAGCATTTAAAATGACATAATACTATTAATAATATAATCACTATTATTTATAAAGAAAATTGTAAGAATTTTGTTTTCGCATTCGTAGAATTTGTTTTTAGCTGATTTGATATATAAACAAGTCACAAATATACGAATTATGAGTTTGACTTCTTTAATTAGCTAAACAGATCATGATTTTATTAGTATTAACAAAGTGTATACTAGCAATAGTTAGTTCCTCAGAAATAAGGAGGTATTTAGGAGAGCTATGTCAATATCGGCGACTTTCCTCTACTTTAAAATAGATATTTTATTAAAATAATATATAAACATATAATGTATAAACATATTAAGATTGTTTTGTATATCTCCTTTTTTATAGCTCTATAGTGATCCTATATTATCTATTTATAGTACTTCGAAACATTATTAACAATTTCTTTATAACTTCTACGCATTTTTAAAGATGTTCAAAAAGAAGATTTTGATAAGAATGTAATTTCCTTGCAAAGTCTATCAGAAAAATTAGTAGGGGAGAGTGGTCTAAATCGGACCTATTTGCAATTTTTGCTTTCTATAAGGCATAAATAAAATCCGATCGTAAAATCGAAGGTGCTGTTGGAAAGATCATTTAATTTCCTTCATTTTTGCTTCAGATTATTTTGACGTATCTCTCACTTGTGTTAAACTATAAATAATATAATATGGAAAATGTAAAAACGCTTTTTCCGGTCCGATTTAGAACTATTGGTTCCAAATCGGACCATCCCCTGGTTCAAATCGAAAACTCCTATTTTTATGGATTTTTAGATAGAATTTTAAAATATTTTAATGTATTTTTCTTAGTATTGAGTAAAAACGAGCAATTTGACAGTCAAAGATAAACATTTTTTTCGGAAAAAGAAAATACTAACTGTTTATATTATTAGAATTGAAATCAATAAAACTCAACTAATCTGAGTCTGATGACTCATGATATTTTACTGATTTAATTGTTTAGACCAGATCTAGTCAGCCGATCACCAGTACTACAACCAGGCCTATAAGTTATTCACTGTACTGTCCGATTTGGACACGGGTCCTTTCGAACTTTGGAACAAATTTTACAATAAACCGCAAAAGTGATCACGAAATGCGCTTGATATTTTTTAATTCTACACTCTTTAATTATCTTAAATCAATTATTTTTCAAATTTTTAACACCTTTTAAATAATGATTTACAAGGATTTTCTTTTTTAAAAAAATTTTCGCACGATGGCTAAAAATACATATTTGCCTCTATTTTATGAATGTTATGACAGAGAACTGTCAAACTGCTATCACATGTTCGGTGTCTTATAAGGACTTTACGTTATAAATAGTACGCAAATCTGCTTAACCGTATTCATTTAAATTAAAAAGATCCTATTTAGAACACGGTCCGATTTAGACCACTCTCCCCTACTATGTTGTAAGTTTTTTGTTACTAAAATAAACTAGTTATAATATGCTAGTTATAATATGTTATACTTTACATAATGCATATTTTTATGAGAAAGTTTTTTAAGCTTTTCTTATTTTCAATAAAATTACATATTTAAATTTTTTAAATATTTAAGTAAGTTTTAAAAGTAAATAAATATATATAAATATTATTTATACACACGTAATAATTTATAATTCTTTTTGTAATTAATTACCGTTTTTATTATGTTTATTACTTATTATGCTAATTAAAACTTAATAAAAAATTATATTGTAACATTTTAAAGAACATCGTATAAAGTATATTATAAATGTATAAAGAGTATTCATAATTTTGAATGTTTAATTTTAATAAAGTTATGTCTAGATATTAATTGTAACTCATTTTGAATTTGGCTTTATTATGATTTGCAATAAATAATTATAACGTAACATTTACATAAAGAGTAAGTGAATACTTCAAAAAAGTTTCCATTTCAGACAGAAACGTTTAGAGTCACTGATCAAGTATATTTCGATATCATGATTGACAATCATCCAGTTGGTAGAATTGTTATTGGCTTGTTCGGCGATATTGCGCCAAAAACGGTGAAAAATTTTATCACTTTTGCTACTACTGGTATAGCTGGAAAGAAATATGCAGGGACCAAATTCCATCGTGTGATAAAGAAGTTCATGATTCAAGGTTACGCTTCTATTCTTTTGATTAGAAATCATTTTTTTGTTAATTATTACAAACATTAAATTATTTTTATTATTTTATTAAACTATTTTTATTATTATTATCATTAATTGAATTCAATTTATGGTTATGTCCAGGTGGCGATGTCGAAAATGGCGACGGTACTGGTTCCATTAGTATTTATGGAAAATATTTCGACGATGAAACTTTTAAGGTAAAACATACCGGACCATTAATCGTCAGCATGGCAAACGCTGGAAAGAACACCAACGGTTGTCAATTTTTTATTACTACCATACCAACTCCTTGGCTAGATGATCGCCATACAGCATTTGGAAAGGTAATAAAAATATTATATATACAATTAATATGTAAAAAATATACTTAGTTTGTTATCTGTTTGTGTTTTACATATTTGGAAAATAATTTGTCAGATTTAATTTGTCAATTCTTTTTATTTTTAATTTATTATCATATTTATTATTATACTTAGATATTTTAATACATTTTAAGTTAATACATTCAACACTTATTTTGTAATTTTAAATAATTCTTCCCGCAGATAGTTAGCGGTGAAGCTGTAGTTTTTAAGATCGAACAGACCAAAACGGATAGTGATGACATTCCACTCGTGCCTGTAATAATTTATGACAGCGGAATTCTTCTAACGGAACCATTCACTATATCAGATAACCCTTACGAGTAATTTAACATTATTGATGTTACTTTAATATTATTAATTATTTGTTTCGTTTTCCCTGACTCTTCCATGGCTTAATTGAATTGCTGCACTTCCTTTTATTAATTAAAGATTGTATTTTGATAATATTATATTTGCACCTTTAAATTCAGGGGCGTAATTGTTACAACAATCATTAATTAGTTGAGTAAAATTATTAGATATATAAAGTTATAAATATAAATATCTTTATACACTGTATTTTATATGCTTTGATAGCTTTATGGGCTTGAAGCTGCTCACACTTACAATTTATGTTACTTTTCAAAACAATATATTTATATACTTGATTGTTTTATATGATTGCGCGAACGAAAAGACTGCTATACAGACATAAATATAGAAAAAAATAAACGTTAAAATTTTAACACTCTCGAAAGGTAGATTTAAATTTATTCTTAAACGTATACTATCCATCTTCTTTATGTTTATTTTTATCTGGAAATAATTTTTTTAATGACAACTAAATTCATAAGTCATTAATGTAATATTAAAATATGCATATTTGCAGTGCATGGGCGTGGATTAAGGCGACTTGCATACCGTTGGGATTTAGCTTCTCGATACTTGCGATCTTTCATTATATGATGAAACAGTTGGACGTCTAAGTAACAATCTTGATATGAAAGACTGATTTAAAAAATAAATTTATGTCGTTGGATCTAAAAATTTAATATTTATTTTTATATATAAAATTGTGTATAATTGCATATTACTTATGTATCATTCTTATAAGAAAGTTACATTACTCTTATACAGCTAATACAACGGAGTATGGTTCGCTTCTTATTAGATAACATGCACGATAAGAAAGGAATATCAGGCGTCATCTCTGTAAAGGTCATGACATTGTTGAAACTGCTATGTAGACATAAATACAGAAATATTTTAAAAAATTACTTCATTTACTTTGTAATAAATTAAATAAAATGCAAAACAGAATAATATATAGTAACCGGATCCTGTGTATATTGTTTCTTAATTACACTAGTTCACATCAAAATGTTTGAACTTTAAATCAGACAAGGTGTTTCTTATAGATTTTTGGATGCTAAAAAAATAAATTTTACCAGCACGTCAGGTTTTTGAAATAATTAAGGTTTGATGTAACTTCTGATATTATTGTATTTTCAGAGCATTTTAATCCTATTTTTCTCATAAACTTCATGTGATAGAGCGTTCTAGTTTGCGGATTCAGCGAATTTAGTACATAAAAACTACGAGAACCTATTTTTCTTTTCCAAACCGCAAAAATCTCGTGCTGTGTAATCCTAACGAATAATTTAACATTATCGATGCAAATATTTTTAATTTGATTCCTTTTCTTGACTCTACCGTAGCTTAATTGAATTGTTGCGCTCTCTTTTATTAATTATAAACTGTATTTGATACATTTGTACAATAACCTTGTAAACTGTGAGAAATAATTGTCAAAACAATAATTAATTAGTTGAATTTTTTATTAATATATGAAGTTATGTAAAGCAATAAATATTTTTATACTCTTTGGCTACAGTCCACGTGATACTAAAAATAATTCTTTCTTTTTGATTGGTACATATATTCTTTGAATATGTGCTCTATCCATCTGTTTACGTTCGTCTTTATCTGATCAAATAATCTTTTAGCCACAGCTGAGTTTATAATTCATTAATGCAATATCAAAATGTGCATATTTGCAATGTATGGGCGTGGATTAAGGCGACCTGAATACCGTTGGGATTTAGCTTCTCGATACTCCATTATATGATGAAACAGTTGAATATCTAAGTAACAATCTCGATATGAAGAACTGACTTAAAATAATGAATTTGTGCATTTATTTAATCTAAAAATTTTATATATGGAATTGTATAATTATACACTATTTATACATGTATAATTTTTATATAAGAGAGTTGTATATACAGTAGCGCCTACAAAGCGCTCAGAAATTTAAGCGATCGTATCACTTGTCTAGAGCTGATACAGGTCGGTAGTATGGTCTGTTTCGTAGACAACAATGGAAGAAAGGAACATCAGGCGCCATCTCTGTGAAGATCATGACATTATTATTCAAAAATTACTTAATTTATTTTATAATAATTTAATAAAATGCAAAAGAGAATAGTATATGTAACATTATATTGTCTATGAACTTTCATATTCTTCCGTCATTATCCATAATATAATTTGCTAACATATAACAGTTATAAAATATAACGATTTCTTTATCGTCATCATATGATAATATATTATACATTAAATATGTATAAGAAGAGAAAGAAAAGTAACGAAAAATGTTCTTTTTAATATAATTTAATAACTTAATAATGATTAATTATTATATTGAACGGCGAGAAAGAGAGAATCGCATTAATATGAGATAATGTCGATGACGCATACAGTTATCGCGCATGCACACTAAGCTTTGCTGTACAAGAGTAAATGCGGATATCGGAGTCAGCCTTGGCGTCTGAACGACCAAACCAGTCGGTGGCAAACCGGCGTCGACCAGACCTCGGTGGTCGGCTGAAGTCGGTTGTAGTCGTGTGTAGAAGAGCATTGAGGGCCGGTCGATGCTCCGTCAATTTTATAATAGATGACACGTAGACATAAACGATTGTTGTCATTCATAAAATTATAAAGAATATACAGTAATTGAGTGCATCATGGACGCAGTGCATTTGTGATCACTAGTGGTGATGGTGTGACGTGTTGCTTTCACGATTGCTGAAAAGCGTGCCGGAAAGTGCATGTTGCTCTCTTCGAAGTTCGATTGGTCCGAAGACAGCTGGGAGAAAGTTCTTGAAGGGGGATGCTCCGAAACAGTGTATAAGTGTGCTCATATAAGGTACGCTCTATTTCCTATTACAACGATTTACTAAACTGAGGCAAATGCGGAAATAACAGCGGAATGTTTTCTTAATGATTTCAAATCGAATTTAAAATTACACTAGAATTATAAATAGAATTAAGTATTTGTATTAGCAAATTTAATTTTGCTCCGAATATAATAAATGGAATTTAGTTCATAAAATTTGTGATAATAAGTACATGAAATTGGTTAATAAAAAGAATTATATAAAATATTACATCAAAAGAGTTCGCGATAAAGTTAGCAATATACTCATTGTAGGTGTAAAATTGCGTTATCGTATAATATCAGCGTTGTCGACAATAATTATTGTAAACGGAAGTATGAGCCATTGTGTCGCTGCCAAGGACGCCAGTCCATGATGCTGTGTTGACTCAGATCCATCCACAATGCAAAAATAACTTTATGAACAAAATTTCTACGAAATTTTTCTTACAATTTTGTAATTAAGATTTTATAACATAGTGTAGTCAGATTTTTTTATATTTACACTTATTTATTTTTAAAAGTAAACAAAAAGTCTCTAAATAAATTACATAAAATGAGTAAAGACAAATGAAAAAATTTCAAGATTTATGTAATAACAATAGTTATTAAAATATTTAAAAAATTAACAAAGTTTAATTACATTCGCGATTGCAGTATTATTTATGATAAGCTTGCCTATAATAAAATTATCTATAATAAGTAATGCTTTTCATATTAATATAATTATTATAAGTGTTATATCAATTCGAAAGTTCTTATAAATATTAACAAAAATTTTACAAGTAGAATATAGATACTGTACTTTACTTTTGTTTTACAATTGGTATTATCTACCGGATTATCGCACAAATGCATAAGACCTCTCAGGCACACATGTGCAATCATACTTTCTGAAAGATAAAAAAATACGAAAAGATTTGAAACTGTACTTATATCACAGTCTTACTAAACATACGAATATATCAAATCTCTTGCAAAATATATTAAATGTTACTAAATATATTAAACTAATATATTTATAACTTTATTTGACTGATTATTTATTAACAAATGAAGGAACGTAATTTTACCTTTAAGTTACTGTGTAAAGTTCTGTAATTTATATTTATTCTTATTTTATTTAAAGTTGCAAAGTGATGCAATTTTATGCAACTATATTACAATAACTAATATCAATTGGAATTAGCCAACTATACACGTCAAATAGTCGATAATTAATTAATAAATGTTTGTTTGCAGTTCTGAAAATCTATTTTAGCGTCTTTAAAATATTTTTTTCAAATTGCTTTAAAAATTTATCCGAGAAGAGAATATAGAGAAGATAAATTTCTAACTTTACCATATACAGTGAGTGCAAAAAATACTCGTACAAGGAAATTTTTTATAAAAAAAGCTTTATTTGTAAAAAATAAACATTAATTAGCAATTTTATACAATGAATACACTTTGTTTTAACATAAACAAACGAGTGTGTATCCCTGATTTTAAAAGCATACGAATATTTTTTCAGCGTCCAAACAATACAAAAATTTCTAATTTTTGTTTATTTTTAGGATGATATATTTTCTATAATTAACACACCTCTTTTTATATATAATTTAAGAAGCATGCAGTCTGTTTTATTCTTTATGAATAAATTGGTAATTATCCAGCAAGAAATGATCGTTAATTAGACATCAAATCGACGTTGAATTAGTGCCGAAATTATCATATCAATATCGATTCAACATCAATTCGATGAATCATTTCTCGCTGGACAACATTTACTTTAAAAAATAAATTTTTTAAGAATATTTTCTCTGAACAAATACTTTTTGCACTCATTGTATGTATTTTACGAGCTAAATAACAGAGGCAGTTTTAGACATAAAGATAATCTATCGCAATTATCAAAAACATAGAAATCTAGTGTAATATTTCACACTACACTTTATTCTTTGAATGTGCAAACTCATGATTAATCTCTCGTTATGCGTGCGATACTTATCTTTACACGGAACATAATGACTCGGCACGCAACTTGCACATTTCATATATTACTACGTATTACAAAATCATTTATTTACAATTTAATCAAAACATGATTTTCCGTATCAAGAATTAACAAGAAAAAAATGTCAAAAAGGATTGTAATATAAATCTAAATATGTGTAACAATGAATAAATCTAGATACGTGTGACAAGTTCACATCTTCTGTATTACGTACGCTATTACATTCCAACGTACATTTATTTAGCATTGATTAAAAATAATTCTTCTTATTAGATCACAGACCTTGATCAATTGTCAGAGATAATAATCCGTGACGTATATTTGATGATAATGGATGATGTTTTCTTTAACATGGCAATTCATTATATTATTTACTTATTTAATTAATTAAAATTTGTTTTATATGTAATAATTTATGCTGTTGTATCCACGTAATTATGTTTAAACAATCTTTTATTACTGTACAAATGATAATGTATCATATTAAATACTATAATAAATATATTATTTAATAGAATTATTATTTAATTATTATAATATGCAATATATACATATATGATATGGGTTATATAATTTTTTAGATATTTCAAGTATAGAAACAGCATACCATTCATAACATTTTAATAAATCTATACGTATACGTTTGCTTAATCAGCATACTTCGAATGCTTACGATTCAAGCAAACAATCAAGTCAGATGGCTAATTAAAATACGACACACGTAACACATGTGCAAACTACGTGTAGACATTCAATGAGTATTACGTTTGCATACGATATCGAACGTTCTTAAGACAAAATGCTT